TGACATTTAACTTGGCGTAGCAAAGGAACTTTTGTTTTTAATGACCCACTCTAAATCAAACCATGTCTCCTCTCTAATACATTAATAGTTTATAGGCAAAAACACAGAAAGTTTGACACTTCTCTCATTACAAAATGCTGCCAATCTCACTCTTAACTTTTAAGTCGTCTACTGGCATTCCTTTTCACTCTTCATTCTCAAACTCCCCAAATAATAACCACCACCCCTTGCACCAGCACAAATAATAATTACAGTGAAAAAAATCAAATAGTAAGACCATATCACTGGAGCCATTATTTAATTTACCCAAGCCTCAGTTTCCACATCTGTGAAATAGGGATAAAAGCACAACCCACAGAATTAAATAAAATAAAGGATGTCTACTGGCACATCTCTTAAACTGTATACTGAGATACTCCAGGATACTTCGACAAACTCCCAGGGCGGCTGTCTAATACTTGAAATTGAAGGGAACACAGGGATTCTCAACATATGCTGGACACTACCCAAACTATTAGCTTGATATAGTTGAGAGTTTTAACATTAGATTGCAGTGCAGTCCTTTGCTGACATTCTATCTTTTTAAAGTTGGGTTTTCAGTGGTTGCTGTGATAAAAAGCAAGTATCATTTAAAAATCAATGTGGTATAGGAAATGAAGGTGGCACTGTCCAATCTGATTCCAAGGTTTAAAAAACTATCCAATGCTCAACAGACACACACATCCCATTAGTAAATAACCCTGGCTATTTACAAAGGAAATGAATTATTTTCAACTTATTTGCATTATTTTTTCAAACAGCTACTAAAGTTGTTAGGACAGAAATATCAACTGTTTAGACCTATTTTATTAACAGAACTGCGGCCTAGGGGTGCTGTGAAAAACTTAATGAGACACCAAGATGCCATGAAACAATAAAGCTTAGAAACCTCTGGCTTAATGCTGTGAATAGCAGAGGAAGCTTCCAGTAAATGGCACCATTATTTCATTATTATTACTCCTTTACAGTATGCAGTTTCATAAAAAAGGTGAGATACTTCAGATTCTATGACAAACATCTCCAGAATATTGTCCTATAGTTTTATCACTCATATTTCCATGATGAAAGAAAAAATCAGGTAGACAAACTCAGATGGACAACTCAGAGTAAAACCAGGCCTAGAGTTAAGTGATACAGCCTTGCTGTCTATTAAAGTGAACGATTTGGGAGCTGATTTGACTCAAATCATGCTACTTAGAAAGCCTGAAACTAATCTTACTACTAGACAGATAAAAGCGAGTAATCCTTATTACCATGTGATAGCCACAAGAGCAAAAGCTCTAATTTTAAGAAGAATTTACACACCCTACATCTCCATCTTTTAAACAGGTGATTCATAAGTTCTGTAGAAAGAATAGGAAAACTGAACCCTACACAAAACTAATAGACATCTTCTTTTATCTCTAAATAAATTAGTTTCCGGGAAAGAATATGCAGTATTATAACTTGCTGACCATCAATCTTGCTGCTTACACTGGGGCAGACACAGTATAACTAACCTCAGAGTGCTCACCTGCTACATTGAACCACTGTTCCACAGACACCAAATTTTCAGTTTAATTGACTGTTTTTCTAGACTAATAATTTTCAAAAATGAGTAACACTAAAAATGGTTACACTATGAAAGCTTCAGGTTTTTTAAATAAATAAATGCAATAAAAAATTGATAATGAAATTATTTTCCATTTAAAGAAAATTTTAAAACAAATTGGTAACAATATTTACAGAAGTCATGAATAACATACATCATTTTTAATTGGCATTTCAGAAAAATTTTAATAATGTGGTTATAGTTATTTCCATTATGATTTTTCAGAAACAAATCCAAACAATATTTAATGTACATCTTCTATATCAGTTCAAATAGTAATTCTTTAAAAGGGAATAAATTTTATTGGAAAAGGTATCATATTTTCAAATACAGACTACTGCATGTTTGTCAACTTTGTAATCTAGTTTAGGTTAGTCTTCCCCTGTGCCACTTAAAAAGTTTATTCTGCAAGTATTAGTAAAACACTGTAGTAAGCACTGGGAAACGAAGATTACTAGGAGATGGGCCTGTTCCCCAAGGAGTACAGTATGCAGACACCTGAACACAGCTCCACAATGTGAAAGCGCTATACAAAAAGTACTACGGAAGCATTAGCATTTGGTTCAGGTTGAGGGTTTCCAGAAAACTCATTATGGGCCTCATAACAGACAATAATAGGATTATAATTCTGGAAACATAATTATTTTGGATAAAATCTGCAAACTAAAAGTTATTCCATCATCTATCATAGAGAGGCCTATGTGAACTATGCTCAGAAATTACCATCCAACTTAATTATATCAGAATCTCTGGGAGGTTGGAGCCCAGGCCCCAGTATTTGTAAAACCTCTCCAAGTGATTATAAAGTGCAGCCAGGGCTGAACATCACTGGCTCAATGACTGAATAAGTCACAGCATCATGATTGATGTAAGCTTAGAATCCTATCAACATAAAGACAGAGTCTTGAGGCTGGATCAGTAGACACTTAGTCCTTTAATAGGATCCGCGATCTGAGATGATATTCTTTGAATTTTCACTTACACTCCATTTTGTGACATGTGCTACCAATATGAAAGATAAAATTTCATGTTGTGTATCTCATGGCGCTTCTGGCATAAGCCAAGGAAATTAAGCGATTGCTAGTCTTTAGCAATAGGTATTGTCCAAGATGTCTAATTTTTTTTTTTTTAACTTTACTCTTGAAAGCCAGAGCAACTAGAACCTATAGAAACCATAAACTTTTGGTACATGAAGACTGAGTCCTCCCAGAGTCACTTTCATCATCTACTTTCAAGAAAAATATCTGCATACAAGCATGTAGAGACCAACAAAACCATTACATAAAAAGTGTTCTTCTTGTGATACAGACTAAGTTCTACAAAAATGAATGGAAGGAAGGAAGATACAAGAGTGAATTGAAAGAGGCAGATGGGGCAGATTCTCATGAAGGAAGAAGACTTGAGTTGGAACACACTCAAGTCTTGGACCAGAAAGGTAGAGAAAAGCATTCTAGCAGTCTTGGAGAAAGCGGGCATAACAAGGGACAGCATGATGAAGGCTGGAAAAAGCATGGTACTTCAGGAGAGCACTGAGAAACCCCAGAGTCTCCTTAAAGGAGATCAAGGCTGGACAAACAGGGTGGGGCCAAATTATGGAAGGCCTCGAATAACTGGTTGTGGAGTTTGAACTTAATCTTATTGAAAAATGGAGTTATACTTCTGTTTCATATAAAAAATGTTTAAAGGGATTCTTCTGGTAGACTAACATGCAGGATGCACTGAAATTCAAGGCGCTGTGATTGTTGAAGATGAGAATACCTTGGTATTTTCCAAGCACAATTCCCTGAATATAGCAGGCATTTTTTAAAAAAATGTAACACACTACAGCATAATACACACCTTGGTATCACTGCAAACTGAATATTAAATGATTTATTAAAAGGTCTGTTAACTCTTAAACATTAATACTTTAAGTACTGCTGTAAAGTTTATATAATAACATACCCAAGAGATTATACATCCATGTATGCTAGCTTTATAGAGGTAATATTCAAACTTTCTTCTCATGAAAGAATTTCATAGTCTAAATCTAATGAAAATGAATAGAATTAATAGTCAAAACAACATGTTTGATACTTTTTCCTCAAAATAAATGTTAATGCCAAAATGGTTTAAGAATTTTTTTAAATCATTTTTTGGCATAAAAGAGGGCTGCTGGAGGTTTGAAACTATGATTACCCTTAGGTTTCCTGACCTTGGAGTAAAGAATAGCAATAATCCTAATAACTATAGGTAATGCACATAGCTGAAAATTTGGATCTCTAGTATTACCAGTAACCATAATTAAAGAAACATTTAGAATTGAAACAAATTAGGAAATCAGATAATGTCATCAAAAAACACAAGCAGCTGACAAATGTTTCACATACTAAACCAAACCTTTCTCCCCCAGATATTTTTAATTAAGAATTCATCAGTAAAAGAATTTTATTTGTAGTATGAAAATATGCTATGCAAATTAATATGACAGCAAGTTATATTTTGGCTTAAGTATAAAAAACAGTTTGAACTAAGTCCATATTGATTGAGTATAACTCATATTAATACTTGTTTCTTAGAACACATATAGCCCCTTCCTGCTCTGTGCCTCTACATAGCAAAAACATGATAAACAGCAAGTACTCACTAGAAAGCTTTTAAAAACACAAACACACTTCAAATAACCCCAAACTGGATTGATCTGCCAAAAACTTATACTAAGGAAAAAATGTAATATTCAAATTAATCGTTTTATTTTTAATTTCATCTATTTGCTCACAAAATAACCCAAACCATACTAATCTACTATTTTTTGTGTGTAGTGCAGTTGTCCTTTTCTTTAAAAAAGACTGTCAGAATAACTTTTAAAATAATATAAAATCAGTCACATATCCCACATGAAATTTTGTTTACAATTCTCTTAATAAAAACACAAGGTCTTCACCATAAGACATTCCAAAAACATTAGATAAATAAACACTCTTACAGTTCATTACTATAACTGATCTACAAGAAATTCTGTCCATTACAGTAAAAATGTCAAGCAAGCCATTTTACGGGTATATGTGATGTGATATAAATTGCAGCAATATTTCTTTGGAAAGAAATATTTACTTTTAGAAGCAGCAGCAGAACTCACTAAAGCAAAAACCTGTAACCAAAACCTGCATCTTCCCCACTCCCAACAAAAACCTGCAGCAGGGGAAAGAAAAGAAAATTAAAGTTTAAAACGAAATAAGGTTTAACTAAAAGAAAATAAAAAGCATAATATGCTAGATAAAGACAGTAACAGAGTGGTCAGGGTCTTCTCTTAAAAAAAAAAAAGTTAAATCTGAATTATTTCAAATCAAAACAGAGACCATGATCAGCTGGGCTGTAACAGATGACTTACAGAGCACCGCTACGGCCCCAGACTCGAACATGAGACATTCTTCCTTGTGCCTAGTTTCCACTATGAGACTGAAAGGTGGGGGATCCAATTTGTGATAGATCCGAAATCCTTTGCTGAACGCCATTCTCCTTTCTTCAGAGGCAGCCCTGTGAAAATCAAGCAAAGCAAAGCAAATGAAGCTAATGTTTCCTTCTGCAGCAGGAACTGCATGCAAGGCATCCAGAAGTCCCTGCATGCCAGGTTTTCATGGGGAGGGGGGAGCGCTCAGGAAGAGAATGGTTTATTCCAAAAGAGAAGTCGTCATTTAATTTTACCAAAAAGCAAGAGAGGAAAAGCTACCAATTCTCCGGGCAAAGCAAGGCAAGGTTTCATCACTCTAAGTGCACGAACGGTTTGGTTAAGATGAGTTTCCCGTTTACTTTATGTTTACCGAAAGGAAAAATTTGAGCGTATTTCGTTCGTAGATGTTTATCAGCTTCCTGCTTCAGTATTTGTCACTACGTTGAAAGGGAACCAATTTGGAAACTTCAAGCCGTTCCTTCGGGGGAAGAGGAGAGGAGGCGGGAGGGAAGGTTAACCAGGCTGGTTCAAAGCTCCTTAGGGGGACAGGCGGGGGGAAAGGATTATCCGACACACAGGACCTCCCGAGTGCGGCGGCCAAGGGCCAGCGAAGCTGCCCAGGTTACCGCCGCCTCCCGCCCTGCCCCAGGCCACCGCCGGCAGGAGGGACGGCAGGCGAGAGACCGTGAATATGAATGGCCACCCGGGAAGGGTCACGATCCGAGACACGGACCCGACCGGGGCCACTCGGGGGTCGCAGGCGTTCGACCGCCGGGGAAAGCGGCTCCTTCCCAGGGGAACGGAGGCGCGCAGCAGCCCAATCTGTCCATTATGCGCCAGAAGACATGACCTGGCGCCCAAACCGCCTCGGCTCCTTTCCCGCGGGCAAGCTGACAGCCGCTGTCACCACAGCCCCCGGCCCGCGCGGCGCCCCGCACAAGCCGCGGTCTCCAGACAAA